TCGGTTAGCGGTACCTGAAAAATCAATAGAATACACGGTTTCAACAGAACTGGACATCAGTTCTGATACACCATAGATTTTCAGCGATTAAAATTGTCACGCGGAATGATGCATCATGTGAATTTCATGCCTCTGAAAAGCACACACGAAACCCCAATGTATTTGTATCTTTGTACAATTTTAATCTATTATATAATCTCACGTGAGTTTCGTTTCTCTACTTTAGTTATTGAACGATTAATATTCACGTAATTTCTATTCTATCAATTCATTCTTATTTTTATACAAGTTGTAAGAAAAATTTATACGAAAAAAAAAATATATATATATATATATATTACGAAGATATCGTGTCATTTTATTAAATTTAAAACAAAAAATTTATCTTCAGATCTTATAAAATTTTGTAAGCAAAAAGAAGAAGATATAATGGAAAATTTTATGGATTTTTTCCATATGATGCAGTCCTTGATCCTCGATATTTTATTATATCTTGAAATAAAAAAAAACTTGTTTAAAAAAAAAAGTATGACGTAGATGTTTACATTAGCATGATACATCCTTATAATATGTATCATTCACTTATTGTATTGGATACGTCGGATATACTTAGGAAAAAATGAATTAAATTAAACTAAAGAGGCGTTTTATTACAGTGACGTAATTTTAGATCATTGATACTCTAATGTTTATGCTGCACGTATATATCATGTTCAAACCACTTTCGATAATGATCTTTTATACTATCTATAGTGTAATTTATATAAAAGGATATTCTCTTATAACATTACATCGTTCCTTTCTATCTACTGTCAGTGATTCAGAAATATAAAATTATCTACGATATTTGATTTTTTTATAACAAAATAATTTTTAATAAAAAACAATACATTATCTTCTTCTATCCATTCATCAGTAATTTAGAGATATAATATTTTCTACAATATATAATGAAAGCCAATATATCAATATATCATCTTTTTCTTATCCACTATCATTAATTTAGAGATATGAAATTTTCTATAATATCTAATAAAAACTAACATATCATCTCTATTCTATCTATATACTAACAGTGATTTAGAAAATATGAAATTTTCTATAATATTTAATAACGATCAATGCATTACAATAAATACAAATTACTTTTGTAATAATCGCAACGACGCCGCTTTCTCCAATTAGCATTGACATTAATCATTATCAACGAGCAACGATATAAATCTTTCACGAGAAGACATATCGAACACGAGAAGATTGAGATAAATATTTGATATTCGCCCCTTTCCATATACGCGAAATGCAATCGTTAAATGCATTCCTAATTTAAACGCGAAACGGTAAAGATCCTTCGATGAGATGCCAAGAGAGGCATGAAGTGCATTTGAAAAGAAATATCTTAAGCATCGCGTTGCACCTCACGTACTTACAATCTTCTCTGCGGCGAGCTGCTATTAGAAGGTTGTTAGCGCAGAAGGAATCAACGATACTTGATGAATTAACTCTCGAGGAACGATCTACGTAAGGGAATAACGTATCACATTCGCGAAATTATTAGAAAACTTTTAACGATAAACGGGTAAAATTTCGCGTATTAAATTTAATAAATTGCAAATTATAAAATTGTACAAGTTATTCTATAAATAACTATGTGTAATATAATATAGTGATAACAAAAGTATTGCAAAATACAAAAAATTTTATTTTATTCGAAAATTTTGATTTTATTGGAAATTTGTATGTACATGGACTATAATGGATTGAGTATAGAGTAATTTCATATGATAGAGCACTAAAAACTAAATATTTTACAATTTAAGTATATCGTATCAAAATATATTCAGAACGAAAAACTTTGAATATTGATTTCATTTTCTTAAAGTGATATTCTGCTAAAAAAAAAAAATTGTCATGCATAAATATTTATAATGCATTATGTTCTTACAAAATTTTATTAAAAATGAGACATTTTTTTCTATTTGTTGAAATATTCTGATTATTCTGATATTTTTATTCGTTAAATCTTAATAAAATTCTTTAACGAAGTTAATATCGATCGACTGCAGAACAAAATTAACTGTAGGATGACGTTTAGCTTCAAGTTCAAACTCCGATGAAACGACATTTCATATACACCAACCTAATATACATAGGACAATGGCCCCTTAGTCCCCTTTGAAGGATTCTCCTTGAGACTTTGCACACTTATTCCATCCTTCCTTTCACTTTTCAAAACTGCTTATCGTCAGCTGTCTCTTCACTCTTTAAAATTTACTAAAATTTCTTTCACATTGTGCAACGAATCAAATTAATTATCCTTCATTTTTAATTGATTTGAAGTCAATTTGATATAAGGATGAATGTCAATTTGTTTCATAGTACCTCGCATTTTTATAAGTTAATTTAAAAGATTTATATAAAAATATTTGATTATATTCGATAAAATAAATTGCATGCATTTTGGTTGAGCGTATGAATCTTCTTTCAAATCTGAATATTTCTTTTCGAATGAGAGAATGAGTTGATAGATATTCGTAGATACTAATTGTATTCATAAAAAAATAAGGACGTCAATGGAAATCAAATTGGCGGATGTTGAGTCATTACGTTTGAATCGTGCTTTCTTAGTCTTTCTACTCTTCTAACGTGATTTCCTTCCATTTTGTTCGAATCTATGGTATTTATAAAAAATTCAAGCACATTTTTAACAACAAACAATAAATATAATATTATAACACAATGATATTTTTATCCATTTTTTATACATCTGCATATTATAATTAATTAATTAATAACATATATTAAAAAGAATTATTGATCCTTAGTATTTGAAAAGTAATAAAAATTTTTAAGAATCTAGATCCTTCACCATTTGTAAGAAAATTTTTCGAATTTCATTTACAAAATGAAATTTTTCTCTTAGTGAAAGTATTTATCGTAAGAAGATAGAATTTGATGGAATATAAAAAAGAAATCAAAATAAATATCGAAAAAGGAAATAAGTTTTTTTTATTTTACATCAGAAATATTATTTTGTAACAATTTATGTAAATATTCCTTAAAAACACAATCGATGAAACAACGATTCTATATATTTAACCACAAAATAAAATTAAATCCAAGAGAAATATCGTTTAGCATATATCGTTCAAATACTGTTGAAAATCAACTCGATAATTGTTCGCGAAAATTAACAAAATACATGGAGCTCGATTTCCCCATCATTGAAGTATTAACAATACATTTCAAGCTCATAGAAATCAATGAAAATAATGTTTGTCGTGTCATATTTCGTGTTTAGTATTTCTCAATATCTAGTTACATTAGCCTCTTTCAATTAAATCAATTAATTTACAAATTAATCGATCCTTGATAAATTCAATTTCCATGAAATATGTTTCGACTGTATTAAAATTTTGAAAATGTTTTATCGATCAAAAAATTCGACAATTGATTCTTCTGGTTAATTTTACTTTGAAATTTTTTTCAACTAATCGTGATTGAGAATTGACAGAAATTCTAAGTTCTAATATAATATAGTATAACATAGTATCTACTATTTTTTTTTAAATATAAGTTATTCATTCTATATCCTACATTTATTATACCTTATTTATTTATCAAGAAATATGATTTCCAATTGTCTGTTTTTATTCCATAAATCTATAAAGCTTCAATATTTCAATGATATTGAAATCGCCATCTTGTTTGAGGTTTCGATTCGTTTCACAGAAATATGAACAATTGAAAACTAGAATGAAATAATAAACACGTCCACGAATCTGTTTCATATCGACATTCACAATTACTTATCGCTTTGACAGTACTATTATCACCAATTGATATAAACGAATAAACCTTGATCACGAGTTAGTCACTATGCAAAACGAACACGAGTTTTTCTCATAACTCATTCCTTTTCATCTTTCATCACGTCTAGTAAATTGTTCGTTTTTCTTTCTCGAGCTCTCTCATAAAAAAAAATTTTTTTAACCATTAATTATAATGTTTTTTTGTTCAGTTGCAACAATACAGCATTCAGGTTCCACGCTTCATTTCCCACACATGATTTCTTCCATTTGAAATTCACATAATTACATTTATTTTTCCCGTTCATCGCACTTCCATAAGAAATTCCTTTCTTAGCAACAAGAATCTAGATATTATCTGATATTGTGGTAAAGAAAATTAATGCTAAATTCATTCCTCATTCGTTCGGTATTCTTTTCAGAGCACGCAAACTGCAAAGAACCGTTGTTTAATCGGCTAACTGTTTCCTGAACTTTATGCTCGGCACAGTGTAAAGTACGGATTTTTGCAAAGTGAAATAATATATGAATTTTTGCAAAATAATTTATATAATTAAGTACAAATTGTAACTAATATATTGGGAAGTTGCAATGATAAAGATATTCGTATATAAAAAAAATCATCTAACTCAAAAAATTCTGATTTTAGAGAAAATAGTTTGCACATATTGAATATAGTGAGTTATACATGAAGTAATTTATTTTTTAGCGAAATATTCCCGCCCTTTGAGGGAGCGAAATCGATATTCGAAAATTTCGCAATTTTTTCATATTTTGTTATGAAATTTTATTTGAATATTTTTTTTTTTTTTACAATAGAATAGTAACAGAGCAAAAATTGGAAAATTTTGTTAAAATTTAAAGTTTTGCTTTACTTCGCACCATTGCAAAGTTATCATTTTATGAATTTTATTTTATAGAAAAGAGGGGGGGGAGGGAGAAGAATGTTATGAATATATGTAATATTTTATTTTTATTTTTAAAATCTTCACATCCTTCATATTTCAATGTCCGATTAAAAATGATTGAATACGTCATATTTATAAATATATATAAATATATCAAGATAAATATATCAAGACGATTCTAGTAATAGATAATAGATAAATTTTTATTTGATAATTATATACATGATAGAAAAATATTGCAATAATGATATAGTTTAGATAACAGATTAATCATATTTGAAAAACATCGATTTAGTATATAAAGATTCGAATCAAAAGCTTGTTAAGTTTGTAACAATCGGAGTAATTGAAATATTAACATTGAAGATGAGACAGGTAATGCTTCTATCTTTTATTTTTATTTTATTTTATATTACTTTTGTATCATTAACATTCATTTAATTATTTAAAATAAATTCAATTTTTCATAGATAAAATTCCAATTCATAATCTGATTTTTATATTAAAATTATTTAAAAACAAAATAGTAAAAAAGTCTCTTTTGCTATTTCAAAAAATGAATTTCTCTGAATTTTTAAAACATTCTTTTTTTTAAATTTAAATTAATTAATAATTCTTAAAAATTTGTTTATTTTCAGATATTGAGAGCAGGATTCTTGATCACTTTCCTGGCGTACGCCGTCACAAACATCGTTGCCGATAGTGAGCATCAAATAATTATAATTACCAAATAAAAATAATAAACCGATTTAACTTATAATTTATTCAATTCTCTTGCAAGTAACGAATACTTTAAATAATTTTACGATTGAATCTCTGGTGCAAAAACTTTGGTGCACTGTAAAAATATATAAAACTTCAACAAGTAGAATTTTATTTAAAAAAAATACAATTTTTGCATTCCATCTTCTCGATTAAAAATCTTTCGCGTTCCATTCGACGTAAATAATGAACAAATAAAAAATAATAATAATAAAAAAATAAAAATAATAAATAATCACATTGACAATCTTTTTCCATTATTCAGACAAGATCATCTGTTACTATGGCAGCTGGTCCACTTATCGTCCCGGAATCGGTGAATTCAATCCCACCGACATAGATCCAAAACTGTGCACCCATATAGTGTACACGTTCATCGGTATTAATATTGATGGTAGCGTTCACGTATTAGACTCTTGGAACGACCTTCCAAGCGGCAAAAATGGTTTTGGAAAATTCACTAAGCTTCGTGAATTGAATCCAAACATTACTGTCTTGGTGGGTATGGGCGGTTGGAACGAGGGATCGTTCAAGTATTCCCAGGTTGCCGGAAATCCTACTGTCCGTGCAAAATTCGTCAAAAATATGGCTTCATTCCTAAAAATGTACAATTTCGACGGTCTGGACTTGGACTGGTCATTTCCAAATCAACGTGGAGGCGTAGTTGCCGACAGAGAGAATTACATCACCTTGCTGAAGGAATTGAGGCAAGAGTTCGACAAAAATAATTTCAACCTGAGCGTGACGGTTACCGCTCCTGAATATTCGGCCTCTCAATCCTACCTTATTCCGGAACTGGTAAAATACGTCGATTACATTAGTCTAATGACGTACGATTTGCACGGAACATGGGAGAATGCCGCGCTACTTCACTCTGGCCTTTACCCCTCGGGCAAAGATACCAATATTCGACTTGACTCTAATGTGGTAAGTTCTAATAATTAAAACGAATAATTACGTTTTAATTTTCGAATATTTTGGAAATTCAAATTTTAGATATATTCCTTTGGAGATCGAATGATTTAAACATTTGATGATGAAGTTGATGAGAATGATAGTCTTTTGAAATGTGTTAATTATATAGTATTATAATATAATAATTATATAAATAATAATTATATAGTAAGTCTAAAGCGTATAAAGCTTTAGACTTTAAGGTTAAAGAATAAGTATAAAGTTTAAGAAGTTAAAAGGTTATGAATAGTTTAATCTCAAATCTTAAGTTTTCAAATTTCATAGATATGAAATATATATATATATAGAATATGAAATAGATATGATATAGATATATAAATAGATGATATAGATATGAAATATATAATATCATAGATATGATATTAGGCATTGTTGTTCGATATTCCTCAATTTTTAAGATTAAATCTTGAGTTATTAACATTGCTATTAAACATATATATACACATGTTGAGATATCTTTGGAAGATCGATTTCAGAAAAAGAAATTAAATATGTTTGATGACATGACTATACATACAAGATATTTAATTTCTCTTGGAGTAGAAACAGATTCTATGGATTTTTAAACCAATTATATTAATCATCCATGGTCCAACATCATTTACATCCAGCTGATAAACTTTTTAAATATTTGAACAATTGTGTAATGAACTAAAGATTTCAATTCAGTATATTAAAGTAAAGTACAATAAAAAAATATATTCATTTTTGAAAAATAGATTTATTTATAATCGATATTAAAATATTGCTGATTAAATTTGTAAACATGGAATTCATTTCAGGATTGGTGCGTCAAATATTGGCTCACGCAAGGGGCGCCAGTTGACAAGATCATTCTAGGTATTCCAGCCCATGGTAAATCGTTCACCTTGTCGAATTTGACGGACAACGAACCAGGTGCTCCAATCCTGGGTGCTGGAGTCGCTGGTCCTTACACGCGAGAAAGTGGTATACTTAGTTATACTGAAATCTGTCAATACATTAAATCAGGATGGACTGTGAAACGGGATTCTAAACAACGCGTACCTTATGCTTATCAAGGTAACCAATGGGTTGGATATGATGATGTCACGTAAGCATTTATTTTACAATATAAATTGTAAAATTAATTAGTAGAAATGAAGAAACAGGCAATATAGAAAATATTTACGATTTCAGATCTGTCGAAGAGAAGATGAATTATGCTAAGTCTAAGGGTTTCGCTGGTGTAATGCTATGGGGTATCGAGAACGACGACTTCAAGGGTTTGTATGGTGAAAAATATCCACTTTTGAACACGATAAATAAGATATATAAACAAAATTAAAGTGTTAACGAGTGATTTTTAATATTGATATAATTTAGAGTTATATTGTAATATAAATGTATAAAATAAAATAAAAGAATATTTATCTTTTCCATCCGTGATTTTCTAAATTTTTTTAAAACCCTGAGTGAATTGAAAATAATAAAACGAAAGTATAGCATATACAATCGAATTTCTATTTTCTATAAGAATACTTATTTTTTTAAATATATATATTTTTTATTTTATACACAACACTTTGGTCACATCATTAAACTGTACATATTATATAAATTAACGTCTTGACTTTTCGAGGAATTTCACAAAAAATATAATTGCTCGTATTATTTGATGTAAGTACAAACAATTTTGGCTAACAATTGATAACTATGTTATATAAATTTCAATTGCAAATTTATTAGATAGTCTCGTGCATTTTTAAATCTTCTAAAGAAGATTAAAAGTTAGAGTAATAAATTTTACAGGTCACATAAGACAAGGAAAATGCTTACTAAGGACTAAGACAAGGATGATTTATTAGTCAGATAGATTTATTATTCAGAAAGACGTTTATATACAATAAAAAGAACATTTTTTATTTCCGATTTATTTTGATTACAAGGATTATATATGCTCGATAACCTTATACATATATTTTGAGAGAAATTTTGTATATTGAAATTTTTAAATCTAAAAAGGAGAAAAGAGGACAGACATCATTGACTGATAAAGGAGGATAAAATAGGAACGTAGGAAGGATAAAATAATTTCCGGAACATCGGAACACGCTGGGGGAGGATCTCGATGGGAAGAGTCGGCCGAGCGTTCCTAATCGAAATCCGGAACGAGAGAGAACAATTATTGATGCAGACTAATTTCACTATACCGTCGAACAGCAAGAACGAAGAAAATAAGATATTTCTCTGAGAAAAGTCCAGTAATTATTTTTATTTTATTTTATTTTATTTTTTTTTTTAATATTGCTATTATTAACTTAAAATATGCTATGAAATCTCGAAACTTGGTTATTTTGATTTGATATCGATATCGATCGATTTCTTAAAAATAGAAAATTGAATTAAATACTTTGCAACTTTCATTTGCCTTTAAATTAAATTAAAAAACTAGATTATATTAGGATTAATAAAGCAATTGGTCGAGTTTTATTGTATTGGTTGAGTTTTATTATTTATTTATTATTACTTATATTATTTATTATAATTTAAATTTGATATATTCAAGTATATTTATCATTTAAAGATTAATTTTGTAATGTTGCAAAGTAAACTCAAATTTTAGATATCTTTAAAAAAATAATTCCGTAAAGTGACTTTATAAATTAATTTATTAATTAATAAATAGTTAATTTTTTATTATTCTATAGATAAAAAAATATAATAATCATTCGTATGTTTTAATAAGATAATATATGATTCATTTTTCTTATTATTTCTTCTCTATTATTTAAAAATTATATAATCAGTTTCTTTGATATGGTTATAGATATCTTATAAAAATGATTTGTTTTGATGAAAATTTTCAAGAAATAATATTTTATTTTTGTATTTCATTATCATCTGTAGCAAGATTATCTTCAATAATATTTTTAACATAGTAATAGACATATCGAGAAACTATGAATACATGATAATATATTTTTTATTGTAGCTATATAATCACGTTATAAGAAAAGGTAAAATATTTAATAACTAATGATTTCAATACAATTTATTGTATTCGACGATAAATTGAAATATCGAATTTTTTAAAATAATTTTTTATACATACAGATAGCTATATTATATATATTATAAGATATCTCAAACTAACAATTTTATTATAAAAAATGGAATACGATAGAGACAGAGAGAGAGAGACAGAGAGAGAGAGAGAGAGAGAGAGAGAGAGAGAGAGAATCGTTTACTTCTTCTAATGCAAACCTATAAATCACTTATAACTTAATAAATTAAGTTATAAACTTATAAAAGTTATTAACCTATAAAACCAATATTTTTATATATTTACTTTTTTGTTTATTTTGATTTCTAAAATCAACTATTTCAAGGGATCCCACGAATACATTAACATCTCCTATTACATCATAAATTAATTATTATTAACTTATTAATACCATAAATTTGTATAGGATTCGAAAACTAAGGCTGATTAGCATACGTTACACATAACTATAGGAACTAACTATAGAAAAAAGTTGTTTAAAATGTTGTCCTCGATAACATATTTCAAAAACATTAAATTCGATTAAGGCAACTGTTTTATGAATATAATTATCTCATATTTTTGATATTTAACGCGTAATTTAATATTTGTAATTTAATATTATGAGATACAAGATACAAAAAAATAAATTTATGACATAAATATTATATTTGTATGTCTATAAATATATCTTAATAAATTTGCAAATCGAATTTCAAATATACTTTACTTTCGTCGCGATCGACGACTACTACAGTGAAAACAGTGAGAACGTATTTATAACGTTCTCAGCCTTCACCGTATATAAACATAAGATTATCGACGAAGAGAGAGGCAAAACAAATTTTGAATTTACTGTCTTTACGTAACAATTGAAAAGGAGAATCATTCTTCGACACGATTTGAACGTCGAAACACTTCGCTTAATACAGAAAATCAAATATAACTGTAATTTAAAATTATATATATAAAATTATTATAAAATTATATTATTTTATAAAATTAATATATATGAAGTTAAATATGATGACCAACGTGATGGATTTTCATACCTCGTTTTTTTATATGCTTAATAATGAAGCGAATGGAGATAAGTTACATGAATATATGACCGATTTTTTTATTGATCCTCCTGTAGTATCTAAGAAACAAAAATGTGGGAAAAGTCAATTAATGGATCTTATGGGTAAGTTTAATAAAATTTATATTATATTTTTTATATATTTACATTTTTTTTCTACATTAAGTATATAAGATATTTTTTTTATTTAAATATTTCGAAACAATCGTTATCTATTATAAACTTATTAACATTAAAATTCATAAAATTTTCAAAAAACTTTTCAAATTTTTATTTTCATTGTATAATGTCATTGTTGCCATATCGATTATTCTACCCTTATTGAAACAAACAGTTAATATAAAACATAATAAATTATTCAAAAATTAATGGAATAAAAAATAATAATGATATTCGTGTTTTATTTTAAAAGTGCAAGGAGAAATCAAAATGGTGGAAGGAAAGTATAGCGAAACAGTCGATATCTGTACACAAGGTTTGCAACAGAGTCTTCCATTCAGTGCACAATCCGCCATTTTGTACTTCATTCGAGCCGAAGCTTTGGAAAGTCTTCAGATGTACGAGGAAAGTTTGTTAGATATTGACAGAGCGATAGAAATTTCTGTCAGCAGAACGTTAACGGATATGTTGCAAAGAAAGAGGATTGATATATTAAAGGAAGCCGCTTGTTTCGAGCCGCAAAAAATGCGCGATAGATGCCACTTTGAGAATATACCACAACTCTCAAATAATCATCACACATATCAGTTAGGTTTGAGCAATGCGATCGATTTGATTCACAATGGACGATACTTTGTGGCGGTAAAACCGATCAAGATGAAAGACATTATTCTAGTCGACAAGTCGCAAATTACCCATCTTCACAAAGATGATTGGGACGATGATCCTACGAGTAACATGTGCCATTATTGTTTCAAATACTGCAGAGCGTTGATTCCATGCGATTATTGTTACCATGCCTTATATTGTTCGAAAGAATGTCGCAGTAAGGCATATCAGGACTATCATCAAATCTATTGCCGGTATGGAAATTTAGATAATAAGTCTTCGTTCGTGCTTAAATTGCTCCTGAAAATTACTGAAAACGGCGTGAGATTGAAAGAAGCTATCGAGTATCACAAAGAACTGGAAAATATGAATGAAGGTGATTTAGTAATTATATTAAGATAGATTAAAAAATAACGTGATTTATATATTATTTATTTTTCATTTGTTTATTTATATTGCTTGTAAAATTTCATTTCTTTTTTTTTCAATTTTATTTTATACATTTGTACGTAAATTTGCTTGTAAAATTTCATTTCTTTTTTTTTCAATTTTATTTTATACATTTGTACGTATACCAAGTTGTTTATAATTGAATTGTTTATATATTGATTAATTTTAATTAATTAATGACAAATTTTTATTTGTTTATATTTTTATATTGTATTGTTTTTGGAAAGAAATGGAGAGGAAGGTTTATAATCTGAAAGAAATGAAGGAAAACAATTTAAGATGTATTCTTAATTTGAGTATTCCTATGAAGAAGGATGACAATAGGACCGAAGATAATTTATTTTATTCGGCCAAAATAGCTATGCTGCTTCGAAATCATAGTAATTTTATGCAAGGAAGTAACGATATTTTAAGTCTAACTAAATTACTCTGTCGTTTGTGCTATATTTACGACGTATATGCACGTATGGTAAGTATATATTAATTTGTGCATTATATTTGTTTCAAAGTACTAAAATTTTATAATTTTATAGATTTAAGTCAGATGCATATTTTCATTAATCACAAGTTTTCTTTAAATTCTTCTTTTCCTTATTTTATTTTAGAATGGAACAATAATATAATAATAACACTTTTAGTCAAACATTTTAACAGATAATTATAATTAAAATTTTGGAAGATGGAATTGAAAATTATACGTGATTTTCAATATTCTAATATAGTAATTTCAAATTTCTCCATGATCTTAAAATATATTGTAAAAACCATCATTTTGATAAAAAAAAAATTCTTTACAGGATTTTATACCAATTTTCGAAAGATATATCGCCCTAGTACAAAATTTGTATTTCTTGCTTAACCTGGTTCGCCATTCCTGTTCCGGGAATACAATATATACCGTGCATAAAAACAATGTGCTCGTTCTGCGAGCGGCTAAAGATATATATCCAGGCGAGCTGGTAATGAATTTTGATTTTTTTCTTTTTCTTTCTCCATTAAATTTTGAATTAAATTTTTTATTCATTACTCGAACGAATCTTTCTTTCCATTTTGCAGATTACCTTTAACTTCATGTCCAAATACGTCGCGTTGGAGTCCAATTCTATGCCTCGAAGCATCATGTTGAAAAATTTCTTCGATATTTCATGCGATTGTGAAGCTTGCGCGAAAGGTTATAAATTTAAACCCGAACTCGGTACAAATATAGATATACCGAATCAATTACGACAACGTTTACGAAGATATCGAATTGATATTGATGCTATGTGGGAATTGCTTAAAATAATTAATAACAGCACAAGGAAGCCATGTTTGGAGGTAGAAATTCTGAAATATTCCATTTCAGATGCGTATTACGGGGAAGAATATTTTGTAAGTATATATTATATATAATATACAAAGTTAAATGGAGACGATATATTGCATTAAATTAACTGTTCAGCTTAATTTTATTTTTAATTTAATATTATGAATATGAGTATGAGTAAAGAAGTCGAATCATTGTTGTTTTTTTTTTAATAACGAGACTAAAAGAGTTACAAAAAGAAAATTATGTAAATGCAAATAATGTGATTGAGTAATTGAAAAAATTAAAATTACTATAAATATATGGATGAATTCCATTAATGATCAATTATATTTTATATATATAATATTTACATTACACATACAGTTTATGTTTTTATTTAGTTTTTCAAATTGAATCAGAAAATTCTGAATGAATCTTAATTAACTTACTAATTCTTGAATTAATTTATATATTTTCTTTTTTTTTCTTTTTAGTGACTAATAAATTAATTTTTTTTTTTCAGCATCTGAGAAAACTATACACTTTACTTGGAATTTTATAAAAGAACATTACAAAATACCAATTATAATTATCCTTTTTTAAATTTTCTTATTTCTAGTAAATTTTTTAAATCAGGGATTACTTTTATAAAAGATTACTTTTTAAATTGAAAATCTTAAATAAGAATTGTTTTTAGAAAATTCCATTCGCTTTAAGCAACGCAACTTTTCGCTTTTAAATAAATTTTACTCTACATTTTCTCATTCTCTTCCTGATTGTACTATGATTACTGGGACATCCTGTATAGGCATAACAATATAAGTGCCCACTTCCCTCTCGAAATAATTCGTATAACAAAAGAAAGGTTTGATATTGCAAATTGCGAATGAATATCGTCCACGTAATATAAAAAAGAATTATAAAGTATTTTTAGAAAAAAAGTTTCGTATATATAGTTTCGTATAGTATTCCATATATATTGATATTCTATAACTTCTGTGATTTGACCAATTGCATTAGACCAATTTTATAAACTATGTATGCACTATCTTCAATTAACTTTAGAACTATCAAACCTGTCAAAATGACGGATTCCAAATTTGTCGTTTTTACAATGCAAAACATTAAAATGTTTTTTGATAAAATAATAATATTGTATTTCATAAAAACATAATTAACATATTTATTTCTATCACATTAATATAATTACAATCATTCATATGTAAAATATTCAAATATCTTTTAAGATAGTTCTAATGTTAAATTGGATTAGATCTAAAAAAAAAAAAAAAAAAAAGAATTACAGAGATTATATTTAATGAATATAAATATTGAATATTAGAAAACTAGAAGAATAATAATATTGTAATAATATATGTAATACATCGGTTAAGCTTTAAGATTCATGAGAGTTGAATACACGTAAAAGAAAAATTGGCAGCGCAGAATTGTTACAAATGATGTCATTTTTACGGATTCACTAGATTCCTAGTAATTATTTTTCACATACTGAATAGCTGACACGTCTGACTATGTGAAAAGAGTAATAACGAGCAAGCAGAGCTACGCAGAAAAAATGACATTCATCGCCTCTACTTCTGATATACGAGGAAATCAGGTCACAGACATCTTTTATTATGATTTCGAACAATGAAATCTCTATTTAAGGATTATATTTTTATATTCGCCTAAAATTTTTCCAAATGTTAATCTTTATACGCGACATTAGTAATGATATAATCAGAAATTTTTAAATTTTGTTATTATACGATTAATTTTAATTATGTTAATTGCGATTTCATTGTAAAATATCTTGTATATAGGAATAAAAAGGCATATGTAAAGGCATATGTATATATGTAAATATGTATATTTAAAAAAGAAAATTTATCATGGTAAATTTTATTTTTATATAGCAAAGAAATATAAAATTGTTAATTGTTTGAATATATATACACATATTGAATATATATATACATATATATGTCATATGATTTATTAATGTTTTATAAAAAAATCAAAATGAAACAAAAATTTTCATAAGTTAAAAATTAAAAACAAAGTTGTACTATTAAAAAATTAAAATAATTATGAAAAATTCAATTAAAAAATTTACATATAATGCATTCTAATTAAATTATATTACCATATAAAAAGAAGATAGCAATAATTATTTTACAAGTTTTGAAACTTATACAAAAGGCGTTCGTTTGAATCTATTTTTATATTTTTTTTTTATATTTTATAGTTTTTATATAATAATTTAAGGTTATTCCTAAAACCTTGTAAAAAATGTATTATATGTAAATAAAATAAATTTTCCTATATACTGTAATAATTATTTTTAATATAGCATTATATTTTATTATATTTTGTTATTATATTTTATTATATTAAAATTTTTATAATGCTGCATACAATGATTTACTAAATATTGTATAAATATTTTTCCAATGGTGTTAATAATAAATGAATATTGAATGTTGAAAAGAATAATCAATTGAATAACAATTTTTAGAAAGAATATATAAATGGAAAAATATTTTATAATATCTTATATCATTCATTTTTATAATCTATAATATAATAAATTATATAAATTATAATAATAATATATATAATAAATTATATAATAAATACTATTACATTAATTATTAATCATTTAATACATATCTAAATTCTTTTACAGCATAAAAAAGCAAATAAATTTTATCTCAACATAAGACATATATTAATGGCAACCTTTGCGGATGATATAAAGTGAGAATTAAACAAATTGACTTATAGAGAAGTAGGCGTATCTTGGTACATCGTTATAAATCATCTTTATTGAGCCAGATAGATAAAGGGGAATCACGAATGATAGAGAATCCCAATTAAGATTTACATGATTGCAATTTTGATTTGAATCTTTCGTTATTATTTCATTTCATAAAGCTTTATATCCTATCCTTGCAACGAGATTTCTTTTCCATTTTATAAAATTCTCACGAGTTCCATAGATTGATGATCACAGAAAAATTCAATCATGATGATTCAAAATACAGTATAGAAATATTTTTCTTTAAATTATTTGTATTCCCAATTATGTTATAGATTGCATAGTCTGATCACAATGATTTATAAAATTGATATACAATTATAAAACAAAGATTCTTTAATATATACAGGGGACATTTCTTCTCATCGAAGCTGAATATCGATACAAATTCACCACCGTCCTACTTGGTATGCAATTAGGCCAAGGATGAAACCTAACAATCCGAGTTAACGAAGCTTTGCAATGTTCAACAATCTGAACTCTCTCTGATCTGCATTCACGATTCAGAATTAAGATAAATTCTCGATGCAATATCTGTTATAAAATTCTTGTGAATCCTATATATTAGTATAGGTATGCATGCATATGCATATTACGGTTAAATAAACGAGGAAATTCTCAATTATCTGAAATATGAATTGATGAAAAAAAAATGCAAATGTATCGTGATTCACAAGTTCGGTATCCATGATTTAAATCGAAACATATTATTAAATTTCATATAACTTGAATAAAAAAACTTTAAAAGTATTGTAACTTATGATAATTATAATGAATTTATGAAAATAAAAAAGAAGATTTAAAAACAAAATAAAAAAGTACTTAATAATTAGAGAACAATTAACAACAGAGATATAAAGTAAATAACTAAGTAATCATACTTATTTTTAAAAAATAAACTTTCGAACGAAATTTATTTTTCTTCAATCATTACTTTATTTCAATTTTATAAATTCAGTTTGATTATTCTCATTTTTTTGCTTTTAATGATATATCAATATATTTTTTGGATTGATTCATTCAAACATATACGTACATGTATAACATACCACCAAATATAAATTTTTTTATAGTTGTAATAAAAATTTACTTATTAAAGGCAAGATCAAAAAATCATCGAAAATTTTTCACAATTTGAAAAATTAACAATTATGGAAATAAAGATATACATAGTACTCAGGTACGTACGAAGCACGATTAAAAATAATACCTTTAAGTACTTTCAAAAGATATTTTACCTCGACATCGATCTTGTGTTGACACAACAGTGGCCACTGTGTTCAGTGTGCTTGAAAGTTTCACCCCAACAGGAACGACTTTACTTTCAACGAGGGGTCATAATGAGCGTAGGGTGAAACGCGGGAATGATAAACGGAGGGAAATGAAATCTGCGTAAAAGGGCGCAGCTAACGTGCATGGGGACAACTACGCTCGATCAAACGCAATATACCCACCTGAAACAGTAGCTATCCACTGGCACAAACCTGGCTCCCCAACAGCTTTTAAAAAATTAAAACGAATCGTTGAACTCGAATATAATTTCGTACGGTATTATTCCACACGAAAAGAAAAAAAAAAAAAAAAAAGAAAAGGTAAATGAACATTGCGAATGTGTGGATTTTCAAACACGGCAGATTGTGACGCGCGCGAAAATTTAGAGAGAAATTTTTATGAACCCGTAGAAAATTTTTATTGCGAGATCCCTTTTTTCTCGAAATTTTGATATTTTCAACACGAGGCTCATTTTATTCTCCCTGTTAATTATTTTCGAGATGCGAACAGTTCTCTGTTCATTTTGTAAAAATATTTTGTAAAAATATTTTATTACGTACATATATATATATTATATTTATTTTATAAAACAAACAAATTTGAATAGATAGTAGATTTTTTTTTTTTAAGGTGAAAAATAAAATTTTTGAATTCATTGAAAGGTAATAATTTTTAGATTGAAAGAAAATAAAGAGAAATGGAGTATCGCGATAAAAAATAACATTGTTTTGCATCGAATTGAATTTGCATATTAATTCGCATGTATTGTTCTTTGACGATATTTATTAGAATTGTTATTGTTATTTATCACTGTGTGATTATATCTCTGGTTCAAAATATGATATTTATTGTTGACATAAATGTACGAATACGAATCTTATTCAATACAGAATAAGATTTGGTACATTAACAATTGAGGACACGGATGCAAGAACAGCATAAGTGCACTTACCCTCTTTATGCGTCCGAGCGCATCATCCAGCCCTCCATACCTGACCTACTTACACAAAGCATGCTTGCGTAATAAAAGGTCGGTCAAATTAGATATTGTACTAAGTAATAAAAACTTAAAAATAATTCTCAATCAATCATTTTAAGCGTCTTATTAATTGTATTATCCGGACTGATATGAGAAATTAATCTTATGTACAAAAAATAATCACAAAGTAAGTATATTAATTATACGAGTTTTCAATTTCAAAAATATCAAATAATAATAAAGAGTAACAATTTTGTACGATTTTTTTAAAAAATCGATCACAGGGAATCATTTATATATACAAAGAGAAGAGTAAATTATCTCAAAATCCAATTAAATCTCAGAAATCACGAATAATCCGCTGTACTATAGATATAGCATTAGCACGTATTACTTTGATAACATTCATATCTTTTAATCCATGTAGAAGATCCTATATCAAGTTAATTAGAATAACACGATTCGATACGCGTATTATATGAGATTTAGTGTTTTGTAAGATGGGTTTAAATGTCAAAGTATCGTATTAAACTGCATAATCAGAACAAAAAGGTTCACTTGGTCGGAAATGCATTTAAAATGTAGTAGGCAGAGAGGATACAGTAATAACGTTGTTCATAACATTTTCCGGTGGCCGGAAGATAGGGTTTCACGCACGCATGCTGTACTTATTCGTCCGTGTGACTCATGACAAAAGGTCGTCGAACCCGTTTTGTGCATAAGAACCTGCATGCTGTTTCGAATCGAAACAAATGGAAAAATTAGAATCGATAAAGATTTATTCTGATGAAACAATTTGAAATTGTCTCTTGTATTATACGATTCAGTAATCGTTAGGATATATCTTTATAATTGGAAATCATAGCGATTAATTTCCTTTCCTACGATTCTATTGTTTGCTAAGCCTAACTATTTTTTTTCTTCCTTGAATTTGTTACTTTAAAGGAAATTGAATTTTATCTGTCCAATTTATGTAAGTTTTAAATGCAACGACAAATAAAATTTTATTAAAAAAAAAAATTTTATATCGTAGATATAATTTATGTATAAATTAATAAATTGTCATAATTTAATTCGATCGATGACTATCAATTTATTATTAGTAAGTATGCAATTTTACGATACATTATTATTTATTTATTCAAATAATCATAATTAAGAGATTATATGCAAATATTTTTGAACAAATTATATTGTACAAAAAATGAATTGTTGAATCACTAAGGATGCTTTGAAATTTCATGAAAGTAAATATAAATAAGATATAAAATTAATTTATATTTCAAGAACATTCATTGATTTCTCTTCATTGATTATTTTATTTTTATCTATTTTTTTTATAGCTATTGAGTACAAATATTATTTATACTTTTTTCTATAAAGAAAACGATAATTAAATGTCAATTGTTTTGTAATTAATAATTAATAAAATTGATGTTAAACACAACAAATTAATTAACTGTTTTTTTTTATGATCTAAGTACCAAATAACTATAATATTGTTACAACAGCTGTAATACTCGTTACGTAATGATTAGAAAGCGAATCGACGACACGGTTCGTTATAATGCCTTGGATATTATTTTCAATTTAGAAGATTGATTTTTTTAATCGAAATTTCTTATAAACATATATTAACATGTTTCTTGCATTTTATACTATTGCAATCACTAAACAAATAGAGAAACTCATTTTATTTCTAGCTAATACTTTCATCCAATATTTCTTATTCTTAATTTCTTTCCTTCCTTTGTGAACAAATATATTAAAATTTATTTCAATCTGAATAGTGTATAATTATTTTTTTCATTGTTTTAGGCTCTCAAAAAATCTGAAAAAATTCTGCATTGCTTATTGAAATCTTTATTTATTTATCAAAATCGAATGTCTAAAAGATTTATCAGAAAAAAATAAAAATTCCTTCTTTCAAAAATAAAATTTTGGTTCAGACAATAAATGGTCTAAATTCATTGTTTTAGACTCTTGAAAATCTCTTCTTCCTTATATAGTTGTCAACTCGAACGTTTAAATGGTTTATCAGGAAAAATAAGAACATTCTTTCAAAAGGATTTAAAAAGATAATATAAGAAACTCAACAAGAACCAATAGAAGGAGTCCATAGAAAGTTAAGGGGCGTAATGAACTTATAAATAATAGCTTTATACTTTTCTGTTTCTGAATTCTCGATTACAGATAATTGTCTAAGTCTTAACAAGATATATAATGGATTCTAAATAGAATTGCTTATTCTTATGGATATTTGCTATGTATTCAATTAGAACGATGAACGATATGAAGCACATAAGAAAAATTGTTTAGCATCGATGAATCGTAAAGTCATTCTACTTGTAAATACAAGTAGTCAGACAAGATTTGGTAAGGAGATTTAGACTTTTGAACTCAGACATCTTATATAGATTCCTTAATCTCTTGATCTTTATTTAACATTTCTGACAAATTTGATTATCCAAAATTAGAGAATTGTCAAAACTTAACATTTATATTATTAATTTATAGATAAGTTCATTAAATTGAGAAAAGATAATTGTGATAAATATAAAGATAATTAGAATAAATGATTCATTTAATGAACGTGAACTTAAACATTTTTTAATAATTTGAAGATATTTTTTAATTTTTTATATTAATTATTCTTTTCTCTGGACGAATAATTAAAAAAAATATATGAATTTTAATCAAAGTCTTTGTTTGTTTTTTAATCAAACAAACATTTATTAAACATTATAATATGGACTTTCGATGATAAATTGTTATTTCACTTGTCTGTTTTTAATTTTTCATAGTATAAAAATTTAATATTTTTAATATTGGTAATTTTGATGCTTTAATATAAAATTTTATATAAAATCATTATTTTTTTATTACTTTCTATAATAAAAATGGATAAACTACATTGTTTCACAAAATACTCTTTTCAGAAAATATTTTTCATGTTAAAAATAAAAAAATTATTGCAATGATTTAAATAGATAAATATTTAAATTTTATGTTAAAAATATATTAATTTAAATAATAATTTAATTTAAATATTTTGATATTTCTTTTCCAATTTTTAAATTTTTAAATTGATCGATGGTAATTGGCCTTTTATTTGGAATAAAGAATTCTTTTTCTACTTTTTTTCCTATTATAATATGCACCTTATTATCAATATCTTCCATCATATTCCAATAGATAATTTTATTTGTTCTTTATTAACTTTCGTGAAAGATTCTGAGGGATAGAAAAAAATTTAACTTTTCATTTTTTCTTCATTTTTTTAAATAAATCACGAATTGTAGAAAGTAAAGACACGTTTATTTCATTGTTAAGAAGTAATTATGTATTCATGGAAGTTTTTACAACGTCGAAAGTTTACTTACCGTGCAAGGGAATCGAAGAAGTCACACTTACTTCGAGAAAAGCAAACCCATGCCATAGTGGCCGGTTGCACTGGTTAGAAACCGGTTTTACAGGCAAGTTTTGTAATGAGATTCCTCAAACACAGTCTTAGCAACGAGGAGACAATAAGAATAAGGAGTTACAGAAAGGAAGTAATAAAGACAGGAAACAATTGACATTTTCGTGAAAAACAGTATAAGGCATATATTATAATAGTTAATCAAAATGAGCAAAAATTTATTCAAAATCAAATAATTTATATGTTCGATCATATATTAATAATAAAATTTTATAATAAATATAATTTCTGGAAGTTTAAAAAAATTTTTATCTAAGCAAAAATTTAATTGAATCTGTCCATCATTTTAAATATGTACAAAAGTTTACATAAAGATAAAAATCAAATAATTTATTAACAATGAAATATTCGTGAATTTTAATGAATTCTGAGAGCTTGAAAAAAATTTTTATTTTCAAAATTATTATTCAAATCATTTGGAACTTTTTTTTTAAATTTTATTCGACAAATTTTTAATATTTAAACAATTTTTATTAAAATTTCTTTTTACCATTCAAAAATTAGAAATATATTCTATTTTTTCTCTATGAAATATTTACAAAAATTTACAATATAATATTGTTACTAAATTTTCCAAAATTTCCTCTTTAGCGTATCAACTTTTCACAGTGCACATTATTCGGGTAATTAATGTCGCAATGAATAAATATAATTCTCTGATATGTATATATAAAATGTTCATACACAATTTTCACTAGCACATATAATATTTATATTATTATATGTATATTCTATGTACATTAATTAAAATACGACAAAGAGATTACAGATTTATAAATATTATCTTATTATCAATTAACGAACGAGTGTTTGAAAAAAATAGCATTGTGAACAAACTCGATGAGCATAATCAGTCACGAAAGAGAAACAGTTCATTACCGAACATCTGTTCGCCGAGTTGAAGGACGTTCAACTGTTTCCCAATGAAAAGTGAATATACTATCTTCGTCGAGAATCTTTCAATAAATCACTAGGATATTTAAATATCAATTTAACTCTACTTAATTCACAATATAGTGAAAAAAATAAAACTTATTTTATCCTCTTTATACTATTATGCGAACATATGGTTGTATTCTTTGTCATTAAAATTGAATTATCTTTGTACACTTTAAAAAAACTAATTCTTAAACTTAATCTAATAATTAAAATACCATGTATTGCTGAGCTGCATGAGGAGTATGAAAATTAATATATATTTAAGGAATTTAAAATATTTGAAATATTTAAATTTATATTTATAAAATATTATATTTGGAATTTAATTTGTTTAATTTTTACATTTCAATTAATTTTGAAATATAAAAATTTGTGTGATTTGTACGTTTTAAAAAGTGTATATATATAGTTATGAATATTCAGTTTGTATATTACTATGTATATGGCATAAAAATTATAATTATAGAAGTTATAAATAGATATCCTGAATTGTTTTTGAAATTGGAGCAACTGGAGTGTACATGAACTGCATTGCAGATTTTTCACGATATTCATAAGAATAATTCATTGCTATACAGTATTTATAATTTTTTTTCATTTATATATGTATAATTGAACGAGTATTTTAATTTAAATATTTTCTCATACATATATGTATGTATATCCTGAAACTGCATGCATTTATTTAAATTTTTTATTATTATTTTTGTAAATTATTAATAAATGTAAATGTAAAAGCAAAAAATTAATTCAACAACTGATATTATTTATCATGTAATTAAGGAATAAAAAAAATAAATAAAGTATTAAGTATATATATATATATAAAATATATATATCATCAGTGATAGGTTAATCATTAATCATTAATCATTAATCATATCTTCAGTTTTATTTGTCAAAACACAATGTAAAAAATTTATCCTTTTTTTTGTTCTTTGTTAAAATAAACAAATTTCAATTATCCTACCAATGATTTGATAAAATCATAACAAAATCCAACAAATTCGAAGCTGATACATTTTGCCAACATCAAGCTAAAATAAAATAGATAAAAATGCACATATATTGTACTCACCCAAAACATAACGTTAAATCCAAAGATCACATACTTGAGACAGCAGCTCACTTCACTGGTATCCCTTCTATACTTCCGCACAGCAGGCATGGTTAAGACACATTTATCTAACGCTTTTCGCGAATTCCACGCATACGTGCACACAACACACCCGCAAAAATGCACTATATACACAACACAAAAGAGCACCGGTGCCCTACAGACAGAGCGAATCACAAATACAATGACATCGCCGAAAATGCAATTATCATCTTTTTTTTTCTTTCTTAATTATCTCGAACAACTATAATATGTCGTTTCTCTCTCGAACCTTTATCTTATGATTTATCACGTATTCTTTTTTTCGATTTAACCCTTTCCTTCGAGTCTAGTTGATCAGCTGATCACAATAACGTACCGTTTCGCAATCACGACTACCGCCATTGTCACGTCACGGTACGTACTACCCGTAGCTGGATCAACGAGACTGTGAGCGGGTCAGACTTTCCACTCGCTATCCGATTCTCCCCACCAACTAAATCTCACTCGTTTGTCCCTCCAACGCTAGATGTTCCACCCTTTAATGCCCTCTACCATGTCCTACCTCTCACATCATAGTTCTGTCTCTCTCTATTACTTCCCCTATTCCATTTTTTATTTTTCTCGATTGATCTTTCTCTCGATCATCTTGCTTCGCTCTTCAATGCGATTTTTTTTCTTTTCAGAACTCACGAGATATGAAATGAAATTATTATTCTGTGTATTTTTTTATTTTATTACCATCATCGTATCACATGCGATGTTATCAATTCAGAATAGAATGAGATAGCAGCGCTATTAAAATGAGAGGGATTATAATTAAATAAAAAATAAAATATAGATAAGATACGCAAATGAAGTATATAATTGATTTAATATTCAATATATTTTTTATTTTACGTTTCGAGAATCTTAACATTTTGTCAATATCATTCTCAACATTACCGATTCGAATTGGAATAAGATTGAAACGTTACTTGGTTAGAATTGAAATTAAGTTTCAATATAAAATTAAACAAAAAAAAATTTTTCTATAAGAATCTTCGATAGAATATTTTAAAAATTTTTGTTATTCCCTAGATTAAACTTTTTTTGTAAATTTTATTACACCTTTATGTTAAAAAATTCGTGTATATTATATTTTAGGAGATAAATTATAAAATCTGGAATTTATTATCTATATTTTTTATATTAAAGATACAAATATATTGTATTTTTGAAAGAAAAATAATGAAAATGTATTTAATTGACATTTCATATTTCATTTGTAGTTACCCGCCAAGAGAAAGTATAAACAAAGAAATTAAATATAAAGAAAAGGACAGAGATAGGGTAAAAATATGGAAATCAGCGCCATCTTCAGAGTGCCGTAAATGAAACTCAATGCACAAGGACAGAAAATAATAAGAAAAGGATAAAGATAGATAAGAACTGATTATTAGCGCCATCTCTTGAGTATCAAAGACATTTATTAAAAAACAAGATAAGGTAGAATCAAAATTGAATATTAGCGCCATCTCTCAGGTTTCTACTTAAGAGATGGCGTTGATATTTAATTCTGACTCTATTTTATCGGCTCTATTTTTAAAAAAATGTCTTTGATATTCAAGAGATGACGCTATTAATCAGTTCTTATTTATCTTTATCCTTTTCTTATTGTTTTCTGTCCTTGTGCATTGAGTTTCATTTACGGCACTCTGAAGATGGCGCTGATTTCCATATTTTTATCCTATCTCTATCCTTCTCTTATTGTTTGCTCTCTTTGTCTATACTTAATTAAATCGTAAGGGGGCTCTGAAGCTACTCGACATGGAGATGGGACATGAAAATATATTGGATGTTAGGTAGTTGGGTCTATTCTATATTTTATCTATGGTTATATATATTTGCACGTGTGTAGTTTGTATTTGTCATAATATTGAAATTATTTTTATATAATTATTAATTTTATGTTATTTAATTTATTTTATTATCTGTAACTCACATATCAATTATAACGCGATTTTCTTCAATTTTTCAATACATTATATGTTAATTCTAATCTCAGATTTCAAACTTGTGATACTGAATTTATTGTTGATAAACAAAAATTGGTCTAAATAAATATTTGATATTGACTTCATGTTATTTTTTTATTGTTGTCTTCATTTTTTTTTTATTTCTTGTTATCTTTATAAATAAATATATTTAATAATTGAATAATAAAATTTGCATTTATGTGATTTAAAAAGTTTATGTCGTAAGAAGGTTATGCTCAAAATTTGTTTTTCTCAATTAATTCGGATACGAAATATGAGTATCTTTATTCAGTGTTTAAATCCTTTAACGGGAACAATTAATTGGGAAGAAAAAGATGAAAATTATGATTATCATCAAGAAATTGCTCGATCAGCATTTGCTGATATGTTGCATGATCATGAAAGAGTTAGTACTTTCTGTTAAAATGTTCTAAAATGATTTTCTATTTATTATGTTTAAAAATTTTTTTATAATTATAGAATCAAAAATATTACCTAGGTATTAAAGCTGCAATTGAAAAAAAGCACCAAAATGGAGAAGAAGCTAATGTACTTGATATAGGAACTGGAACTGGTTTATTATCAATGATGGCTGCTAAATGTGGTGCAGATAGTATTACAGCTTGTGAAGTAAACTTCACCAGACACAATAAGTTTATAAATTATTAATATTATGATATTATTTGTATATTACAAAATTATATTTTTTTAGGCTTTTACACCAATGGCTAAATGTGCTATAAAAATAATTCAAGAAAATGGCTTTGAAGACAAAATTAAATTAATACATAAACGTTCTACAAAAATGACTATTGGAAAAAATGGTGATATGGTTAAAAAAGCAAACATTTTGGTTACTGAAGTATTTGATACTGAACTTATTGGAGAAGGAGCACTTTCTACATTTCGTCATGCTCATGAAAATCTTCTTGAAGTACAAATCATACACTTTTATATAATTTATATAATTTAATATATTTAATTTACTTATTTTATGTTAGGAAAATAGTATTGTAATTCCACATAGTGCTACTATTTGGGTACAAGTAGTAGAGAGTTCTGCTGTATGTGCATGGAATACAATATGTCCTATTAAAATTAAAAATAAGTATTTATTAAACACTCCACATTCTGTAAAATCTTGTTCTGGAGCAGCTGCAGTACATGATATACAATTAACACAATTTCCTGATGATGCATTTAAGCCTTTATTACCTCCTCAACCTATATTTAAGTAAATATATGTATATTATTATTATTTATTATTATTATTATTTAAGTAAATATATGTATATAAATTATTCAATATTAAAAGAATTTCATTGATAGTGAAATATAAAATAAAAATTCTAGGTTTGATTTATCTGGTAAATCAACTCTATTATATGATGAAAAAAGATGTTTGCATGTAAAACCAATTATAAATGGTACTGCACATGCTATTTTTATGTGGTGGGATTTAATTATGGATGTAAATAATCAGGTAATTATCATTTGTAAATAATCAGGTAATTATCATTAAGATTTTAAATTTATTATTAAATAGTTCTTTATCTAGGTTTTATTAAGTTGTGCACCAGTGTGGGAACATCCAGATACAAAAATCTTACAAAATAAAGGTTTTAGTTTGAAAACAATAGCAGATTTAATACCATGGAGGGATCATTGGATGCAAGCTATTTATTATTTACCTGTTGAAACTCCAGTTACTGTTAACAATGAAGTTAGTTTAATTGGATATCATGATGAATATTCATTATGGTTCCAATTAATAAATGAATCAATGTAAGCCAATGTAAATATCTCATTACATTATTTTATAATTTGTAGATTTGTATATATCATTTTGCTTACAGAAATGAAGCACCAGATTGTGAAAGACCTGTCTGCGGTTGTAATGTACATGTGGCTTATTGTAGAACACGAATAGGACAATTAAATGATTATACACGAAATGAAAAATATATCAAAGTTTTAGAAGAAAAAATTACACCAGATACAATATGTTTATGTCTTTCGGACGGCTGTTTATTGGGTCTTGCAGCTATTAAATTAGGTGCGAAAAAGATATTCGTTTTGGAGACAAACTTTTTATCCAAAAAATGTATTGAAATGTTTGTTAAAAAGAACGAACTTTCGGAAAAAGTAGAAATTATTGAATCAGTAGATAATTTACCTCCCGAAAATGAAATTAATTTAATTTTTGGTGAACCATATTTTATTACTTCAATTGTACCATGGGAAAATCTTTACTTCTGGTATTTAATTTCAAGATATTCTTCTCAAATACAAAGGATTCCAATTGCAGCAACAATAATGGGAGTTATAGTTGAGTTTAATGATTTGCATAAAATACGAGCACCTCTTGGAGTCTGTGAGGGTTTTGATCTATCTATTTTTGACAAACTTATACAAGTAAGTGAATACAAATTAGAAGATGTAATAGAAAAATTAATTTTTATGATGTATTATAGGCATCAAGTGATAAAAGTGATAGTCCTGTAGAAGTTCAACCATTGTGGGAATATCCTACTAAAGCATTAAGTTTACCTTTCGTTATTAAAAAATTTGATTTAACACAAAATGTAAATGAAATTGAAGATGTAAATATTTCAGAAACTGTGCCTATTTTAACGTAAGCTCTTATGATATTTTATATTAATAATTGTTATAAATTATAATATTTATATTTTATATATTTTTTACTTAAATTTAGGAATGGAATGTGTAATGGTGTAGCTCTATGGATTGATTGGCATTTGAATTCCGAAATCACAATATCGTCGGGACCTACCGTAGAAATACAATCTGGAACTCGGATATCATGGGATCCGTTTACAAGACAAGGCGTACATTTATTTAAAGATATAACACATGTTACACAACAAAGTACTGTTTTATGGTCATTTAGTTTTGCACCACAATATGGAAATATGAAATTTGATTTTCGTATATTGTCAAAAAATATGAAATAACATGCTGCAATATTTATAAAAATATACTTTTAAATTAAAAATATTATTCGTTTATCTTATTTGTATCTTTGTATTTTTCAAAAATATGGCTATAAAAATTACATATTTCTTATAAAATATCAACTTTCTAAGAACTATTAAATAAAAAATGTCATGTAGATTCCTCTGGCAGCATACGTAATTGCTTAGCTAATCTCCGTCCTATAAGTTTTGGATAAGCTTTTTGTTTAATTAAAAATTCTTTACTTTGATGAGTTACAGCACCATTTTCTAGTTGAAATCTAAAATTTTTAAATTATTACTTTTATAAAATTGAGTTTATTATGTTATTAAAAACTTACCGGCAAAGATAATGTAATGGTCCAAGCATTTTATCTTTCAATTCTGGATCATTTTCTAAAATAGAAAGTGCAAATGCACCAGTTTCAAGTGTAGATAAACAACCTTCAGTTGGTTGTGTTCTAATAACATATTCACTTGTTGGAACTCCAACTAATTTACATGCTTGTAAAACACATAATGCTGGACTTGAATGATATATTGCCTTAAAAATAACATTTTTATATATTTCAATACATGAATTAATGAAATTACAAAATTATATTACCTTTGCTTGTGGCCAAGTTCCATCTAATAAAATAAGATTATAAGGTTTCTGTCCATTAATTCCAACAGGATTTAATTTATTAAGTGCTATGGCATCTGGAGATGGATATAATAATATACTATTTTTATCATTTAAAATTTCTGTTAGGCCTTCATGTTTTGAAAGTGGAAATTTTTTTCCTCTAAAATAAAAGAAAATTATAACATTAACTTTTAATTTTTGATGTAATATTTTTATATTTTAAATTAATTACCTATAAATTATACATTTTCCAGGTTCTAATCCTAGAGCAAGCATAGGTGCCGTTCTTAAGCAACGTTTTGCTTCAGCTGGATGTTGTAAAATTATTATTTTTGATGCAGGACATATAGGATGTTTTGGTAACCCTGGACACCAACATACTGGTACTGGTCTCCTGTATTCATATAATATAAATATAATGAATAAAAAAGGAATAATGTTAGAAGTTATTTCTTTATTTTATTAATATAAAATATATTTATTTCATTATAAAGATTTATATAAACATAACCTAATCACATATGTTTACATACTTGCACTGTAAGCATTTATCTCTTGTTTCAGGAGGATCAGCAAATATTTCTGATAATTCTTGCCACACAGTTTCTTCATTCATTATCTAATTATGAATTATAAAAATAAAAAGAAATTATTGAACACGTTAATAATTGACAGTATAGATTTAACAATATAGAAGATAGAATTGACTCTATAAAAATGCTATTTATATAATAATAATTCTTTCCAGTTAATTAATAAATAATTTTTTAAATATTAAATATCGATAAAAAAATAAAAAAAGTATATTTTACAATTATATTTATATATATATATTTTTATAAAAAATAGTTTTATGTTTTATGTCTATTCAATAATGAAAATTTAAATTTCGCGCCGTTAATATAATCGATTTATAATCGATAATAATTCTCTTGACTTTTTCGAGAATCGCAAGCATGACAGTTGTAAAAATGTGAGTTTGAAAGTGCCGATGTGATTTCTTCTTTACACTTTTAGTGCAAAAAAAAGTATTTTAAGAGAGCAAATAAAAGAATGTAAGTATTTTTTATTATATTTTATAATTTATTTTAATGAATTTATGTAAAATATTTTCATATTTCGTAATATATCTATTAAAATAATGCATATGATATTTTTGAACGATTCCTTAAGAAAAATTCATAGTTTTTGCCAAATATTCTTCTAAAAAGATATTCTAAGTAAATATTCGTATTTTTAATGATTAATTTTATTCAATTTAATATTCATTATTCTTTAATATTTAATAGTAACACACAAATAATAACCATTATTATTTGATACATATTTGCAATCTATTTCAGATTTCTGCTCTACAAAAGACATTATATATCATATATATGTGTTAAATTGTATGCTGCAATTAATCTGGTAGACTCGAGGAACAATTACATCAAGCCACGTTATTATGTAAGTTATTTTATTTCTATATTTATTGTCTCATGATTACACATGAGTTCAGTTTTAAGAATATATATATTTCGAATATATATATTTATTTTTAATTTCATGTGTAATAAAATCTTCATCCATGATTTTAAATGAACATAGTTCAAAAAAATTAAATATTATATAATATTATATTAGATAAAAGTATTATATAGTAAAAATAGTAATACATTATTTAGATTATTTACATTATTAGATGTTGATATATAAATAATAATATATTCATTATCATATAATCATAATATTATCATAATTGTTTTATTTTATTTAAATTAAATGTTATTTTATTATTTAAATTGTGTTAAATTATCCGCGAGAATTCATTGCAATACATTTAGTTCCAATTCCAACCACTATGAACGTTCTAGTCATATTCTTTACTGAATCGATAATGTTGGAAATGATATTAAAATGATATAAAGGAAATGAAAAAAATATAAACTAGTGAAAATTTCTATTTTCAACTATTTTTATATTACAGATATTTGTTGCATTTTATTTGTATAAATTATAAGAAAATTCTAGAAATAATCAGTTGCAAAAATCTGCATAAGATTTTTTTGAATCATTAATTCATATAGATTATAAATTTTTCTAATAGAGTGCGCTATCATTAGATTATTTATTTTATAGAACTGTACAGGTAGGTATTGCATGTTATTTAAATGGAATTTTAATTTTTAATAGAATTTTATTAAATTATATATAAAATCTTAGTAACAATAATTTTTATTATTAGAAGAAAGAACGTTATATTTTATAGGTATAATTATAATAATTTTATGTTCAGAAATATGATTTATTCTTTATTTTTATTAAAATTAATGATTTTCGTTGCATTTTAATAACTTTTCTAATATATTTAAATATTTTTCATATATTAATTATGAAATAAACAAATTATATTATAGAAAACTTAATATACTCCATAAATAAGTCTTAAAGTTTTTTATATTAATTAGGATCCATGGAAAACAGAAACTTTCAGACTTCTTTTTCAGAAATAAAGCGTGTATACTTTTTTTTTTCGTATAAACTTTTTATTGCCGATTATAAGATACCAGTAGCGAAATTTAATTAATTTCTTCAAGATAATAAACAGTACGAAGGTTTGGCATTGTCGACAATCGAATTAAAGCATCTATAGAATCCGTAAGAGTCAATAAATAAAGAAAGGGAATATCCGTGGTAGGATACGCAGATGATATCGGTAGGTGAGATCGTGTCGATGTCGCAAAAAGCGGATGACGTTGGTATTTTTAATGGAAAGCCGAAGGCAAGTTGAATAGAACAAGCTTTTGGGTAGGGAAGCGACACTCAGTTTCTTTGATCAATAATGAAAGTTCTCTCTGTCTCGGTTTCGCGTTCTTCTTCATTTCACTGTCTTCTTTCGCCCCAAGCTATTGGCTCTCTTTTTCTCCTTCTTCGATCACCGACGCTCTCTATCTTATCTTATACATTTTTAACCCTTATTCCGGTCTCCGTGTCCCCCTCCCAAGGAGGAGGACGAAACGGTGCACGAAGGTTCAAAGCGAAAGCCAAGTTCTAACAAGCCTCGAGCTGTTCAACGCTTCTGGCCCTCTCCCTTAAATAATCCACTCCTCGATCCGTTCGTACGAAAGCCTTTTTGTAAAAGCCTCGATAGCCTTCATCCACTGGGAAGAGAGTCTTAAAGAATTTTGGACTCTTCTTCCCGCTCAACGGAATTAAGAGTCACGTGTCTGCGGATCATTAAGATTTGTTGCGAAATATTTCGATATCGGATCAGACATGGATCGAGGGTTTGAATCGTTTCTTGCTAATCCTCTTTGGTATCAAATCGTGTTTGATGTGAATTTTAAAATATTTATATTTTTCTTTTTTGTTTATTATGATATTATGATATTATTATGATATTATTTTCGGTTTATTATGATATTACGATGTATACGGTAGAGTTTATAATATTTATATTTTTAAGAGAAAGAAAATAATGTCATAAGAACTGAATGTTCAAGTTTCGAACATTTTAATCGCATTTTAATTTAATTACAATAAAATTAATATAAAAATCTAGAAGAATTATTAAAACAATAATAAAATATTTGTAGGATAATAGTAATAATTTATACGATATCGTTCAAACATGACATCAGAATGTTAATTCTATTCAATATCGATTCAAAAACTTTAATTAGTATTTACGCATCGATGGTCATGGAATCTGAATATTTCCAGCGCCGTGACTTCGAATATTGTAACAAAAAGGATCTTCTTTCGTATAGTTCGCGGCGAACAAGTCCATTGTGATCCGTTTTCTTTGACATGAAAAAAAAAAAAAAAAAAAGGAAAGAAAAGAAAAGAAAACGAGAGAAAGGACGAGTTTCTTGTCTTCCTCGACCTAATAAAAACCTCAAAAAGATTGGCGAGACTATCGCCGTCGTAGGCATCGGCTTCTCGTTCCTTTCTTCCCGGTTTTCTTTCTTTCGTTTCTTTCCCTTGTTTGCGACATCGGTCAAAAG